TCCCATGAGGTTTTAGTCGGCCCCACACTCCCGGCTCATACCTGCTGTCCACAAGGCTCCCATGTGGCCGCCATCTTTCTTTCCAGAGAGGAGAGGGCGAATGGGGCAACACCCTTTCCCCTCCGGCAGACTTGATGGGCTGGATCAACGCATAGTCCGTTCACTTTTCTGCTCCAAGCTGCTGGGTTCTGCATTAAGTCCTTGTGCTTCTGGGGCCATGGCCGTGCTGGAGAGCCGCTCGCGGGGGGCGACTGGTGACCTCGGTAGGGCGTGAAGGACGGACCGGAACGCCCCCTGACCCATGAGGTTTTAGTCGCCCCCACACCCCCGGCTCATACCTGCTGTCCACAAGGCTCCCATGCAGTCGCCATCCTTCTTTCCAGAGAAGAGAGGGTGACTAGGGCAACACCCTTTCCCCTCCGGCAGACTTGATGGCCTGGATTAACGCATAGTCCTTTCACTTTTCTGCTCCAAGCTGCCGGGTTCTGCATTAAGTCCTTTTGCTTCTGGGTCTGTGGCCATGCTGGGGAGCCGCTCGTGTGGGGCAACTGTTGACCTCGGTAGGGCGTGAAGGACGGACCGGAATGCCCCCCTTCTCGTGAGGTTTTAGTCGCCCCCCACACCACCGGCTCATACCTGCTGTCCACATGGCTCCCATGCGGCCGCCATCCTTCTTTCCAGAGAAGAGAGGGCGAATGGGGCAACACCCTTTCCCCGCTGGGCAGAAATGATGGCCTGGGTTAACGCATCGTCCGTTAACTTTTCTGCTCTAAGCTGCTGGGTTCTGCATTAAGTCCTTGTGTTTCTGGGGCTGTGGCCGTGCTCCAAACTTAACTCTGATTTTCAGGGAGAAAGATTGGGTGGTTTACTTCTCATTGATCACTTTGTATATAGAGAGATGTCGCGCGGCGTGTAAGCGGCCGCGCGATTTTGAGAAAAAGTCCTCGTTCCCGCATACTTGAGCTGTGTTTGTAGAGGCTTCTGGTCACCGGGGTTCCATCTGGGGGAGGCGGGATGCGGCACCTACTCCATCTGGAACTTGCGGGTGATCTCGGCTCTTTTTGGAACCTGTTTTTTCTTTTTTTTTTTCCTCCGGGATCCCGCACCCTCCATGTGTTCCTTCTCTTATCGTAGTTTTAACTTTAAAAACCATTTGTTTCTTGTGGGTATGTAGTAAAATATTTTTGTGTGTTTGTATTTTCTCTGAAAACCTTAATAAAATCACATATTAGTTTATTTTATTATAGCTTGTTTTCGGCTTCCTATGCAGATAATAATTTCATCAAACTCAGATGTATTTCTTCTTTTCTAATTTGTATGTCATTTATTTTCTCTTATCTTACTCTATAAACTAAGTGTTCCAATATGATATTTATAAGTTAAGGAAACACTTACCTTGCTCCTTATCATTTTTAATTTAAATGTTCTAATTTTTTATCATTAAAAATTATAATAGTGGTTGGGACTGGAGTGATAGTACAACGGGTAGGAAGTTTGCCTTGCATGTGGCCGACCCAGGTTCGATTTCCAGCATCCCATAGTCCCCTGAGCACTGCCAGGAGTAATTCCTGAGTGCATGAGCCAGGAATAACTTCTATGCATCACCAGGTGTGACCCAAAAAGCAAAACAAAAAAAAAGTTACTAGTGGAGGTATGGGTGTGAGGGATAGTACAGCATTCAGGGCACTTGCCTTGCACATGGCCAACCTAAGTTTAATCTCCAGGATCCCCTGTGGTCCAGGAGTGATCCTTGAGCATAGAGCCAGAAGTAAGCCCTGAGCACTGCCAAGTGTGGCCCCAAAACAAAATAAAATAGAGAATTACAGTTTTTTGGTCTGTAGATCTTGTCAAGATGGAGAAGTTCTGTTCTATTTTATCTTTATTTTGGGATGATTTTAGGTCAGTCATTTTAGCTCAGTAATGCTCAGGAATTGGTACTGTTTCCATGTATGGCCTCTATGGTGCTCAAGGTGCCATATGTTGCACCAGATATCAAGCTTGGGCTTTGTTAAATTGTTTTTCCAAATCTTGTGATATGAGCCTTATTTGTTTCTCTTTTTATCCTGTCAATGCATTAGCATTAGCTGAATTGGCTTTTGGATGTTGAAATATAACATCAAATACTTATAATTTAATCAATATTCCAATAAATAATTCAAAATTGCATCACTCCTGTGCTATCTGAATTACACTTTGAGTGCTATTGAAAAGCTGTATTGTCACTTTTTCAGCATCAATGAACCCAATTACTGGAATTTTGCAAAATGATCTTGCAAAAATAATTAAAGGTCAGTTGTATACATTTAGATATAAAAATGGCAATAATTAAATAAAATACCGGGTAATAGCTATTTAAGTATAGAATAAATGTACAGTACTATCATGAAAGTTTTATTAAATTTAATAACCTTTATAAAGTTTTTATATAAAAGCTTTTGACATGTAAGTTATTGCATTTCTTATAGTACTTGTGCAACTTAAGAAATTTATATTAAGATTTGTTGGAAGTAGAAGTTCTAAATGTCATGTGTAATTGCTTAGTTACATAAACACTGCAACAAGTAAGTCTTTGGGTTGCAAAGCAAAATTTTTACCTCAAGAGACTATTTTAACCATAGCCTTTACTACTTTACATTTTCAGTTTAAAGAAATAAGATATAGAAGGGACAGTAAGGGAATGGTGGCTGGAGGAACCGGTTGGGATGGGAGATGTGTGCTGAAAGCAGATAATGGACCAAACATGATAACCTCTCAGGGTCTGTATTGCAAACCATAATGACCCAAAGTAGAGAAAGATTATGGGGAATCATGTCTGCCATGGAGGCAGGGGGAGGGTGGGAAAGGGGGGGTATACTGGGGATGTTGGTGGTGGGGAATGTGCACTGGTGGAGGGATGGGTGTTTGATCATTGTGTGATTGTAACCCAAACATGAAAGCTTGTAACTATCTCATGATGATTCAATACAATTTAAAATAAAGGAATAAGACATATATTGGAAAAGGTTTAATTGTGTAATTAATTTTAATTGCATTCAGTCTGGAAAGCCAAGTGTATTTTATTTTTTATAAATGGAAGTTGAGGTCAGAGCATTAGGACAGTGGGTAGGGCTCCTATGTTAATTACTGCTAGGCTGAGTTGGATCTTCAGAACCCCTAGAACCCTGCAAAAAGTTATCCCTGAGTGCCAAGCCAGGAATAAGCCCTGAGTGCTGCTAAATATTGCCCCCAAATAAAACTAAAAATACTAATTTTAAAAAGTAGTAAATAGAAAGCAATGTGAAAAAAATTGTCTTTCATATCTTATATATTTGTTATTATTAGTAGTATTTAATCACCATGAGATACATAGTTACAAAGCTGTTCTTGGTTAGGTTTCAATCATACAATGTTCCAACAGCCACCCCTCCATCAGTGTACATTTCCCACTACCAATGTCCTCAGTTTCCCTTCTGCCCACCCCCTGACTCCCCTGCCGGACTGCCTCAATGACAGGCAGTTCATTCCTTCTTTCTCTTTCCTTTTGGACATTATGGTTTGCAGTACAGGAACTGAGATCAGATTGTTCATTTTGTTCCTTTGCCTATTTTCAGCATGCAGTTATTATCTAGAATTATCCTTTCTATCATTGCCATTGTGGTTCCTTCTCTGTTCCAACTTTCCCCCAGCATTTGAGGCAGGCTACCAACAGTGGATCAATCCTCTTGGCCCCTTTTACTGCAGTTGAGTATTAGCCTTATACTATGTGAAGATAATATTTTTGAAAAAATATTTTCAATATATGGCAGAGCCTGGCAACCATGGTGTATTCGATATGCCAAAAACAGTAACAAGTTTCACAATGGGGACATTGCTGGTGCCTGCTCGAGCAAATTGATGAACAACAGGAGGACAGTGCTACAGTGCTACAGAGAATATAGACTAATATTTTACAGCTCCGATTACATATTATATTAACCTGGAGAACTGGAGACTTGGAAACTTGGTGGGGGAAATTCTGTTTCTGATACTTAGTGTCTGATTCAATTGGCTTGGGGTCACGCTCGTACACTGACAATTATTTTAAAGAGTTTCTTTTGATGATTCCATTGTGCATTCAGATTGAAAACCAATGATCTAAAAAAGTGATTTATTTAAAGGAGACATAATGACTGGGTGACTAATATAATCTTACTCATTTTGTAGTGTTCCAGAGGCCTGTGTCCCAGCTTAAGCAGTTTCTGTGCCCCTAAATGTTGCTGGTCTTTTATCTGGCAGATGTCCTTTTGTTCCCTCCTTATCAGAAGGAATATTAATGAAAGAGATGAGATGTGGAGATAAGGTTCCCTCTTCATTATTCCTAAAAAGTTTCTATTGTAAAACTTAAGTAGGGGAATGAGCAAGGCTAAAAAAGCAGGAAACTGCAAGAAAATTTGAAGAGGGATAAATAAAAATTGTATTCTAACCAAAGCTTTTGTGTGTCTTCATTAGTCTAACTCATTAAGTTTTTTATTTATGAATAGCAATTGATTACTGTATATAAACAATAACATTAATCAAAATTGTTTAGTATATCTTTTAATAACGAAAACAAACTAAAGAAATATAAGGACCAGGGACATGGTTCCAAGGTCTGGAGTACATGTGTGTCATGAACTGGGCCCAGAGATCAATCCCAGATTCCTCTAACTTTATTGCATGGAGCCCAACCCTCCAAAGAATCAAAGCAAAACAATCAATTTGGAATACCCATCTGTAATTGTTCAGATCTGAATTTCTTCTTCTTTTTTTTTCCTGCGAGGAGTGAAGCATCCTTTTTCTTCCTTTGTACCTGAGGAATCCAGCAATACCTCTAGGATATGTATATTCCCTCAATAAAACTATTTGACTTCACATACACATAAATAAATGTTGGTAAAATTGTGTGCATTGATAAGAGCTTTGGCTTTTTTGAATAATTTAATTAATAGGCTTGTGAAGATTTTAGTCACTTTATAAAATATTTATGTGTTTTTCAAAAACAGGAACTTTAAATATAGATTTTAACAACTCTATATATCCTGATGTTTTTTTCTCCTACCATTGTAAAAATAGAGGAAAATGAATTGTTTGAAAGAAATATTGAAGATAAATGTATACATATTAAAGAAAACCAGAGTTCTGAGGATTCCCACATATTACATGAGAGAAAGGATTTATTGCAAGATACAACTTTAACAAAACCTTCCATAAGGGAGAAATTACCTGAAGATACCAAGGAATCCTTGAAAATTAGTAATATATATGAGAGGCCAAACATTGAAGAGTCTAAAACTACAGAGTCACCACTGGTAAGTCTATTATGTTTATTTTGTTAAAATTTAACAAGAAACATCACTAGAAATGTATATTGACACAATAAATTCTTAAATGCGACTTCCCAAAGAGGTTACAATGTGCTAACATTAAACAAGATGGTTTAAAATAACTCAGATAAATAATGTTAGTGACTTAGAGAACAAATTCTAATATGGAAAATTATATGATAGTAAATTTTTTCCAGACAAATAATACATTAAGACTCATCTCAGGTTCCAGACAATAAAAATACTATTATTTTATAAATTAGTAATTATGAATAATTTTATATATTAAATGTATTTTTTACTGTAAAGCATCTCATTGGCTAACATGATATAAATGTAGATACATAGCATCACTTTCTCTGACGTAATGTTGTATAAACTATGCAAGGTAAACCTTAGGACTTTGAGAAATATGACTAATAAACAAATAGAGGTGTTTTGTTTTTTCCTAGAAAAATATTGTTAAAACAACTCATTATTCCATTATTGACAAACTATTGCATAATTGCCAAATAATAAAACTGTAGCACCGTTCTCGATTTGCTCAAGCAGGCACCAGTAATGTCTTCATTGTGAGACTTCTTATTACTGTTTTTGGCATATCGAATACACCACGGGGAGCTTTCCAGGCTTTGCCGTGAGAGTGGGATATTCTCGGTAGCTTACCGGAAACTCCAAGAGAATGGAGGAATCGTACCTGGGTCAGCCGGGCACAAGGCAAACGCCCTACTAGCTATGTTATCACTCCAACCCATAATAAAACTGTGGGTTTAAATTCTATATAGTAAAGTTATTAAAAAGTCTCATTTTATAACCAGGATTAAGTAAAAATTTTAACATTTTATTAATCATTGGGTTCAGGGGCTCTTTCAAGAAATGTCTAGGAGACTTTGGAGAAACTTCCAAGAATTCTTAGCCCCCTTGACTAGCGGTTCTGTGCTAGAACTTCAATCTCTGTGTGCCAAGAACTTCCAGAAACATCTTTGTTGATGCTATATACCGCAGTGCTTGGGGATTGAGGACTGCACTTGTGATGCTCAGGGGACCGTTGAGTGTGGAATTAGCTAGGTGGAGCACTCCCCTTTACTCACTCTCTCTCTCTCTCTCTCTCTCTCTCTGGCCTGTTTTATTGATCACTTTTATCCCTCAGACTACTATTACAAAAATGAGTGATTAATTGTATGTCATAAGACACAATAATTTATAAGTAGTGGTTGAATAACCTCTTTATCATCTGTGGTGTCTAGACAACTGCTCCCATTCTCCTTGTGTCCTTGTGGAAGTTATTCACTGAGCCAAAACTACTTAGAATCTGTTTCTGTAAAAAAAAAAAAATTAAAGTGGGCAGAAGAGTTGATTTTTGGGAGTTGTTATTTAACCTCTATTTTGAGTGTGTCACAGTTTATTTTGCACTTAATTGTTAAACTTAATTTACACTTAATTTTACACTTAATTTCTTCATAAAGTGGGAAACTGGAATGAGGTTGGCTCAGAGTCAGAAACTCTTGCTTTTGGTTTTGAAACTGCCAACATTTGTCTTTGTATGTCCAGCAAAAGCCTAAAAAAAAAAAAGACAAACTTGCCAGCGAACAAATAAACAAACAGACCCATGTTGAACATTGTATCTGCCAAACACAGTTCAGATAACTCTTACCAATTTGCACTTGTCCAATAAAAATCTGAGCTCTGTTCAAGCTAAAAAGATTCAACATGTTGTGATCATTGTCTTAGGAGGCCAGGGAAAGTGCCATGAGTAGATTTGAATTTGCCTGTAAAGAAGATGCTTTACTTTATAAAAAAAATTGCTTGTATTTCATAATTTATATTATCCATGAGTTTTAATAGTTACATTAACCTATCATTATGATTTATTCCCTTGAAACAAACTGCATTTGTGCTGTAATTCAATGCACTGGGAGCTATTAATGCAAATAGACACTAATAATTGGCCGACCCAAGTTCGAATCCTCCGCCCCTCTCGGAGACCCTGGCAAGCTACCGAGAGTATTCGATATGCCAAACACAGTAACAACAAAGTCTCCAATGGAGATGTTACTGGGCCCGCTCGAGCAAATCGATGATCAACGGGAGGGCCTTTAATAATTGCAGTGTATCAGAAATGATCACTTCTGAATCACTAATCTGTTTCTTACTAAAGTTTAGATATTTTAATCCTATATGTATTTATCCTTATGATGAAAGAATATTTTAAAGTAGCGTTGTGACACTAGCCTACATGTCAATAAGCAAGATCTATATTCAAATCCTAGATCTAGCAATTTCTGGCAACATATATTCAGCTATTATTTAGCACATTTGTGCCTAAATTTCCTCCCTCCCCTCCCCTCTCCCTCCTCTTCTTGCCCCCACGTTCCTTCTTCTACCCTCCCTGCCCTTCCCCTCCTTTCATCTTCTCTGCTTCTCAGTGACTATTTTAACTTGAATTTGTTTACAATTTTGGACAGATCAGATTGACATTTTAATTTCATCTTTGAAATCATTGTATACATAGGCAAAAGCAGAGCATATGAGAGAATTTTTTCCCCCAGAAATATACATGCAGGTAATAAAAAAAGGAATAAAACTAAGGAGAGGAGAAAGAAATTTTTATTTGTTTCATCAATTTATGTCTGTGTTTTGGATTTCTGACAACTTTTATGTAATTTCTGTTATTTTTTATACACTGTCAGAATTTACTATGGATAAATGCAGTAATACTTTTCTGTCTCTACTGTTAGAATCTAAACTACCAAGCGCAGAATAATTCATGCCAAGAAAATAGTAGGTTACAACGAAATCATTTGTTTCATCGTGCTGATGAAATAAACTTAATTTTGTTGAATATTTTGTTTCCTAGTTGTTACATAAAATATATCCCAGAAGTAAGTCTGTGACTGAACAACATCAAGATCAAGAAGCTGAAATATTCCTTAACTTTGACAAAAATGAAAGACTCAACTTATTTCCTTCTCATAGCTTGGAATGCAGCTATTCTAGTACTAGGATTACAACTGCAGGTAAATTCAGACATGAAATAAGATGATCTCAATATCAAGCAGAGAATTTTCTATAACAATTTTTATGAACAGTTTGCTTGCATTTTTAGGAAGTAAGTATTGAGAATTCTACTCAACAATAGAGTCATTTTTTTCTCCTGTTGAAATTATTAATCGTACGTGAGTTGGCATATATTTATAAAATGTAATGATATATTTACTGTCACTGTCACTGTCCTCCTGTTGTTCATCGATTTGCTCGAGTGGTCCCAGGAACATTGTGAGACTTGTTACTGTGTTTGGCATATCGAATGCATCATGGGTAGTTTGACAGGCTTTGCCATATGGGCGAGCTACTCTCAGTAGCTTGCAGGGCTCTCTGAGAGGGGTGGAGGAATCGAACTTGGGTCAGCCATGTTGGCTGCGTGCAAGGCAAATGCCCTACCCGCTGTGCTATCGCTCCAGCCCAATATATCTACCATCATAATATAATAAAATCACTAATATGGACTAGAGAGATTATTTTGAAATTATGACTTCATCTTAATAAATTATCAAATTAATTGCTAAGTATTATATGATATAGGATAACATCATTTTGTCCTCCCTGCATAGCCTCAGATAGTTTAGGTTTATTGGGTTGCTCCCATTACAGTGCTCCCATTCCTCCATTTTTATTTGTAACTTCTTTCTTTGTGTTCTGTTGACTTGTAAATATTGTTTTTCTCTGCTCCTTAAGACCTTTGCAAAGTTAATTCAGAGCAGTGTCCTTTTTGTATGGACACAAGAAGACAGTATATGCTATGCTTTTGTAACATGACTCTCAGTGATATTTTCCTCCTGAGCATCTGTTCTCTCAATTTAAGCTTCAGGTCCCCTTACTCCTATCACCCCCAAAAGCAGAGTCCTGATGGGGGACTGGATGGAACAAGGGCAAGTCGTAAGCTATGTGCTACCCTTGCATCAAGATGGTCCTGGCCAAAGTGCCATAATGCTTAATTATAAGTTAAGAGCTTGATCATGAACAAATGCTGCCATGATCCAAAAAGTAATAACTAGATTTGGACCCTACTAGGGTTCGGAAAGATTAATCTGGCCTGAGCGCTGTAGTCTGAGTCTGTGGCAAGATGTTCCCAAGAGAGCTGCCCTACAAGCTTCAATGTACTGTGTCCATAACAAAAAAAATAATATTAAGATGTTGATTGAGTTATTGGACTAAGCAAAGGAGAAAAACACCTTAAAAGATGTTTTGCCCCTGGGTAGTGAGGAAGGGCTTTGGAATACCCCTAGGTGGTATTTCTGCCCTTGAGCCTGGCAGTCAGGATGGGCTTTCTTATGTTGATTTTGCTACCTGATTGGGTACAGTGTCAGCCCAGAGCCAGGAGGAGTTGGAGAGGTAGAGAGCTGGAGAGAGGGAGAGAGCTGGAGGGATGAGAGAGAGTTGGGGTGCGAGATGGAGCGTGGAGAGGAACAGAGATAGAAGGATATAGAAGAAAAATACAGGAGCAGGCTCATGGAGAGAGAGAGAGCCCAGGCTGCAAGATGGAGCATGGGGAGATGAGCAAGAGAGACAGAAGGAGACGGGAATAAGGAGCAGTGTGAGACTAGAATGGGAGGCTCAGAGAGACTGGGGCAGGTGTGTGGGGAGAATGGAATAAGCAGCATCTGATCAATCAAACAACTTGGCCCTCGTTTCCTCCTCCTTGTGCCCCATGGCCTGGGCCGGCGAGTGGGAGAGCCGTAGGGGTTTAAAGTGCTGAAGGACAGATACCTACATCACCCTTGAGCAGAGAGTATATGAAAGAGGAACAGGGAAGGAAAGATATTAATGAAAGAGTAAGAGTAGGTACATGACTGCCCCTAAAGATATTATACAGTATGATACTTGTAATATACCACCCTTAATAGTATGTTAAATATCTCAAAATTTCAGAATCTGTGATTTTGGGAGGATATATCTATAATTTCCTAATTTATGTTATTATTAGTGTTAGTGCGCGGATCGAAATCTCCCTTTGACGACAAAGAGACTCCAGAGACTGCAAACAGCAAGCAGGGTTTATTGTAAGACTGACTAGCCAGGGTCCCACCGCCTACACAGACACACAGGTCTGGCAGGTTGGGTAAAGACCCCGAACTTCTTCAAAGGAGATCTTATATAGGCCTTCACCGACCGTTACAGCAGAGCCCGCACATTTCATAACCAATAGATTTGTAATAACAGATCCTTTCCTAACCAATCCAATTAAGGGTACATCACTTCTTAGCCTATAGTTTAAAGATCAGCATTTGCGTCAGTGCTTAGGAATGTCCTGCTTTTTAGGGCAGTCCTGGGTCTTGCAACATGGGTCTTGTGAGAGACATCCGGTTATCTGGTCTGACCCCCACCCTTCTAGTACTTGTATCCGAATTCCTTGCTCAGGGGCAAAACAACCAGTTATTTTGCAATGCGGGCTCCTGTAAGGCGATCTGAAAAAGCTATCTAGACCTGTTCCTCACATTAGGCATCATGATTTACAAAGTTATACATAGTTTGGTTCTAGGCATACAATGTTCCATTATCAAGCCCACCACTAGCACACTAGTATCAGCTTTCTTCCACCAGTGTCCCAGCTTCCTACACGCCCCCCCCCCCCCCATCTTCCTCCTTGATAGCTGTATTTTTAGGTTTGGTGTTGTAGATTGAATATCATGCTTTCAGTGTTGTTGATTCTATGATATATAGATAGAGAGAGCTATATATTGGTTAAATGAATGTGCCTTTCCTCTACACCATGGATGCAGCCAAGGCCTGCCTTGGTACCTGCCCCCTCCATTACTTCCCATGTACCTACTCTTACTCTTTTTTCAATATCTTTCCTTCCCTGTCCCTCTTTCATACACTCTCTGCTCAAGGGTGATGTAGGTATCTGTCCTTTAGCACTTTAAACCCCTCCTCTATTTATTCTATATGAGAGCCCGGCAAGCTACCGAGAGTATCTCTCCCGCACGGCAGAGCCTGGCAAGCTACCCGGGACGTATTCAATATGCCAAACACAGTAACAACAAGTCTCAGGATGGAGACGTTACTGGGCCCGCTCGAACAAATCGATGAACAACGGGAGGACCGTGATTGTGATCACAGGTATATAAGAAATCGTCCTGTTTGTCCACTGCTGTTTTTTCTTACTTAACTTAACATGATATCTCTCAATTCCATCCAGGTTTCAGCAAATTGTGTGATTTAATTGTTCTTGTAGCAGCACAATATCCAATTGTGTATACATACCACACTGTCATAGTTCATTTATATGTCATTAGATGATTATGCTGATTCTATATCTTAGGTATGATACTAAATACTGCTGTTCATAATGATTTGTTTGTTTTCTCAAGGAAATGTTTTTATATTTGTGGACAGATAAAAGTTGGATTACTGGGTATATATATTATGATAGCTCAATTCTTGCTTCTATATGTATGTATTCAAATGTATTTTTTTATATAGAAAGTTTCATACTTTCTGTTGTATGTTTTAGAAAACAATTGATTCTATCCAAGTTTATGTGTGATATCCTAGTAGTTCAGTTAAGGCCCTCCCGTTGATCGTCGATTTGCTCGAGCGGGCCCAGTAACGTCTCCATTGGAGACTTTGTTGTTACTGTGTCTGGCATATCGAATACTCTCGGTAGCTTGCCGGGCTCTCCGAGAGGGGCAGAGGAATCGAACTCGGGTCGGCCAGGTTGGCCGCTTGTAAGGCGAACGCCCTACCCGCTGTGCTATCGCTCTAGCCCAAGCTATATAATACAATAATTTGTATATAATTATAAAATAGTGTCATATTGTATAAAATAATTTCGTACTGGGCTGGAGCGATAGCACAGCAGGTAGGGCGTTTGCCTTGCACGCAGCCGACCTGGATTTGATTCCTCCACCCCTCTCGGAGAGCCTGGCAAACTACCGAGAGTATCTCACCTGCACAGCAAAGCGTGGCAAGCTACCCGTGATGAATTCTATATGCCAAACACAGTAACAACAAGTCTCACAATGGAGATGTTACTGGGTCCTCTCGAGCAAATTGATGAACAATGGAGGACCGTTTTATAATTAATCAGAATTTATTTTACACATATTATTCAGTGAGAAATAAATTTAATGACACATATTTATCGTTTTTAAAATTTACATATCACTTTTATTGTTACTTCTTTTCAGGAGACAGAGAATGGTTCCCAGACCACAGCATAAGTACATGTGCTGACAATGCAGTTGCTTTGGATGTTTTTCAGAGCACTCAGAATGCATCATCAAGTAGAACACAGAAGAAGATGGTTGATAATAACCAGAAGGCTTCAATACCATATTGATTCCTTATGTTGTGAGGTTTTTTTTTGATCAGTTTACTAGGTACCTAAAAATTAGTTTTCCAGTTTCACTATTTAAACTTATTAATTGAATTAGGTAAATCATTTTATAAAATTTCTCTTCCTGCAATTTAACCAAGGGCCTCACAAGTGCAAAATAGGTGTTCTATCACAGAATCATATGTACAGCTCTTAATTTTATTCATTAAAAATTATTATCTTGGAAATTTTTCTTTACAAGCTAAAACAAAGATTCATTATCACTTTTTTCAAAAACATGAGTTACAAAGGAATAACTTAAATATAAAACACATACCCAGTTTTATAAAATTCAGGAAACTACACTAGATTTTTCTTGGACCATAAAATGATAGCTATTTATAAAATTTTATGCCAAGCTAATATTCCTTCTTGTAGCTGTGTTCAAGGCAACCCTTTTCCAGAGGGCCAACCGATAGCACAGCAGGTAGGGAGCTTGCATTGCACATGACCAACCTGGGTTTGATCACTGGCACTCAATACGTATCCCTAGTATGGTCAGGAGTCATCCTTGAGCACAGAGGCAGGAGTAATCCCTGAGCGTAACCAGGTATACCCCTAACAAGTTAAATAAAAAAGCTCTCTTCTAAACCCAACCCTAGAATGTGTTAATCTGGGATCTTAATTTCAGTTACTCAAGACCATCTCCTAACAAACACATAATTGTAAGATTTTAATCAGATACTTTTTGACACGTTGAATGATGATTTACTTTTTTCCTTTTGAGTATATGCAGAGAACTTTGCATTACTAAAATCAGAATGACTGTTGGGATATGATGATGTGGAAAAAAATGTGTTGAACAAATATGATGTCTTGAGTTTGATTCCTCTTACCGTTTAACCTTGTCTTTGATCAAAAGCATTAAACATGGTGGTTTCATAGCACTTCTGGGATATTCCTGGGGGCCTTTGGAGAATCGTACATGCTGATCTATCAGGTCTGCATCACTAGATTAAGCGTAACCAGAGAGTGGCCCTGGCATCCGCTATTGCCTGCTAAGCTAGTTTTTCTTTATTATGAATTTTGCATGAAGTTGTAGTAGGGATCTGATAAATGACAATTCATATAAGTACTGGGCTGAATTCTAGGGAAAAAGTGATGCATAAGTCATATTCCTTGATCTTTGAGAATTAATAGCTTGGAGGATTACTTAGCTAAAGGAAATGTTTGTGTTCATTTGTAGGTCAGTTTGATCAGAAATTTAAATATTAGTTGTACTAATATGTAATATTTATATGTCTCCCTTTCCCTAAATTTTCTTGACTTTAACCCCATGTATACCTCATGACCTATGAATATGAAATTACATTGAGAATCTATCATTTATGAAGGGTTTTTTTTTTTAGTAGAAAACATATAATGTTTTTGGCCCTCCTTTTAGTTACATATTTTCACAACAAAGGATTACATAAAAGTTCAGGTGCTTCCTAATGCGACAATCCAAAGAACTGTTTAATTTCACTGTTTTTATTGCTAAAACAAATAGACTTGCAGATAATAAAAATGCTATACTAGGATAAATCTTTATAGATAAATATGCATTTCAATTTAAATTTGAATAAATGGAAATCATTGTTTTAGTAACAAAATATATGGGAGCACTAAATTTAGGTCAGAAACTGTCAAATGCTAGTAATATAAAATAAGAGAGCTAGCTCTATAGCCTGAGAATTTAAATTTAAATTCCAGTCAGATACTTGTAAATGTCAGAGTGCACATAAACACCTGAAAATCCTTAGTAATGTAAATTTCTACCTCACTTTTAGATTGATTAAAACTGAATTTAGTTTCAGAAATGTCAATTTATTCTATCAATAACTCCCTGTTATGCTGATGTATATAATTCTAAAATGATACACTTTGATAAAATCGTTACAGAGATAAATAAACATGCAGATTATACCATGTGTAATAAAATTTTATAAAATAAACTGTGAGTAATTTTATTTTTGTTAATGATTGTACTTTCTATTAATGGTAGAAACAGGTATGTGTTTACACATTTTAGGAAATAGCTTCCACTATACTGGGTAGCATATAGTTAGAGATAGAGGCATAGTGACATTTTAGTCAAGTATTTTGGGGGGTGTGTGTGTGTGTATGTGCGCGTGTGTGTGTTTGTTATGGGCTACACCTGGGAGTGCTCAGGGGTTATTTTTGATTATGTGCTCAAGAATCACTTCAAGCGGGTGCAGTAACTATACTGAGTGCTCGGGATCAAACTTGGGTCAGTCATGTGCAAGGCAATCACCCTCAATGATCTATTATTTATCCAGATTCTGTAAAAATATTTTTTAAATATTAAAAATAATATCACTGTACTCCCATTATTCATTGATTTGCTCAAGTGGGCACCAGTAATGTCTCTATTGTGAGACTTGGTACTGTTTTTGGTACATCAAATATGCCACAGGGAGCTTGCCAGGCTCTGCCATGGGTGTAAAAATATTAAAATCATTTTATAAAAATTTACTTTAAGTAAAATGATTTTGATATTTTAGTAAGAGGGGATGAATTAATACTTAAAAAGAAGAGAAAAAAATTTGAGTGAGCCCATGAAAATATAGTGTTTTATCCTAAGAAAGGAAATACTGGTTTTATACTAGAAAATATTATATCAGAGAAAGTGCTGAAGTATCTGCATTAATAAGTAAAAGATTGCAATAAAATATCTCTATGGATACAAAACCTTCTTTGACATAGAATGTTCAATATAAATGAGATGTTAATTCATTATTGAAAATGTATAAATTTCCTTAGCAAAGGTAGGAGTAAAATTACCTTTTTAAAAATAGAATAGAGGATGACCATAAGTACTGTATAGCCGTATTCAGTTCTATATGCTGGGAAGTTTGTTCCATGGTTTAGCACTACCTACAAAATTGCACAAAATTTCAAGTTTGCGAATTCCTAAGTTTTTTCCTGCCCATGAAGCTCTATATCATTCCTTAGTATATTCTTGGTAAGATGTTTATTTTGCTATATTTTTATACATTGTCCTTCATTCTCTTTGGGCTTGGAGAGCCACATTTGATAGATCTGCTGTGAATCTTATACGTCTTCATGTTTTGAAATTGCTGTTATTATTATTCTGCCTTCTTTCTTTTTCATTTTTTTCACATTCTGAGCCCAATGTTTCTAGGAGTTTTCCTAGCTGAATCTGTTTTCTCTGGGACCCTTCAGCCCTCTTGAATGTAGGTGCCTGTAATCCTCAAGTAGGAAATTCCTCCTTTGATTTCTTTTACTATTGTTTCTTCTTCAAATTAGGCTTCCTGCTTCTTGAGAACTCTGATGATTCTTATATTGTTCCTTCTTAAGTAATCCCTTAGTACTTGATATGCTGAAAGCTTTTTCTGTTTCAAATTATTTTTTACCTTCTGTTGTATTTATATGGTGTCTTCCATCTCATATTGGAACCATGATTTTTTTTTTGTTCAGTTGCTGTTAATCTGCTCTTTGAGTTTCTAAGTACTTTTCTATCACTTATCATGTTCTCCATTTTCACTTGCTGTTTTCTCATTTCAGCCTTCATGCTTTCTTTCACTTTGCTGGCATTGCTGACTGCCCGTGCATTTGTTTATTTAAGATTATTAAACATCCTCACAATGGTATCACTAAAGTCATTGTCTACAGATTTACTGAGCTGGTACATGCTAGATGAGCCCTTCAGTACCATTTTCACTCATTTAGCTTGGAGGGCTTCCATGTGTCCTACCAATCTGGTATGGTATGCTAGAACTGTGCTATGAGTACTACAACATTTGGAAGAACTGTCATGTAGCCTCTTTGCACAGAAGACTAGGGTCAGGTTGGACCTAGCTGAAAGGTGGAGGAAACTGCTGCCTCCATTTCTAAAAGGTCTTAGAGTTGTCAGCCTTGATGTCTGTCTACCAGGAAGGGTGTGGCTAAGAACAAAGTTTCAGCAGCTGTTATCTGGACTGATTTAAAATTAACTTATATTTCTTTTGCCATTCAAAAATGTTTTAGTTTGATATGATCCCATTTATTTGGCTTTGTTTTGCTGTCTTTTAAAAGCATTTAAAGAACCATAATTTACATTATTGATAGTTGAGTTTTAGACATGCGGTATTCTAGCACTAATCAATCATAACTACCAAGTTCCCTCCACCAGTGTCCCCAAGTTTCCTTCTCCTCTATTCAGACCAAGCCTGCCTCCTGGTCAGGTGCATTGTTGTAGTTTGAATCCATTTTTTCAGTTTTGTTGAGTCTGTGATTTGGAATATATAGCAATGCCAGTGCCCCATACTAACAGTGTGCTTGAGGAACCTGCCCCTGTTCCCTTCTTAATTCTCTTTCTAATCTTTTTCCTGGCAAGCTACCCATGACACACTCGATATGCCAAACACAGTAACAACAATTCTCACAATGGAGACGTTACTGGGCCCGATCGAACAAATAGATGAACAACGGGAGGACAGTGCTACAGTGCTGCAGTGCAGAGCTAATCTTTTTCATTCCCTTTCAATTTCTTTTTTTTTCTCACTGTTCTGTCCTCCCTGTAATCTGGGGTCATGGGTGCCTAGATCATCCCCCTTTACTACACTGCATTTCCTTGTCCAGCTATTCTATTTATGGAGGTTAGTGAGATTGCTCTCTGTTTGACCTTTTTATGTCCTATTTTACTTCACTCAACATGAAATCTCCTTTCAGGTTGCAACAAATCATAGCAAATTGTAGAAAATTGGATGATTTCATTGTTCCTTGCATGTATTCCACTGTGTGGAATACATATACATTTATACATATATATCACATCTTCATAATCCATAAGTCTTTTGTTGGACATCTGCATTGATTTCATAACTTACCTATTATTAAGTTTTGCAAGGAATAACAGAAACATACATTGTTTTCAGTGAATGTTTTTGTGTCTTGGTTGTGGTCTTTGCCGATGGATTCAAATCATTAAAGACACCACTATGACCCAAATCCTGGAGAAA